GCCTCCTAAAGTGTTGGGATTACAGGCATGAGCCACAATTGCAGGCTTGAGCTTTACATATATTAACTCATTTAATACTTCAAGGAAGGCCAGGCAAGGTGGCTCACACCTGTAATCCTGGCACTCTGGGAGGCTGAGAAGGGATGAGAGGCTGAGGCAGGAGGATCGCTTGAGCCCAGGAGTTTGAGGTTGCTGTGAGCTAGGCTGACACCAGGGCACACTAACCTGGGCAACAGAGTGAGACTATGTCTTAAAAAAAAAAGCAAAAAACTTCAAGGAAGATATTTTATTAGGCTTGTTTCACCAAGAAGGAGTTGTTACAGCCCAACCATGTTCATTGCCTGCTGCTCAAGAAGAGGAAGCCAATACACTGAGACACCAGGGGTTACAGCAGACAAAGAGTTTAATATCGCAGGCACCGTGCAAAGAAATGGGAGGAAGTTCTCAAATTTGCCTCTTGGAGAATTTGGGAGCAAGGGTTTTTAAAGATAGTTGGCAGGCAAAGGACTAGGCAGTTGGGGCTGCCAATTGGCTGGGTTCAAGGCAGAAACAATAGGTGTGTGGAAATTGTCTTCTTTGCTGAGTCGATTCTTGAGTGGGGGTCTCAATACCAGGTGAGTCAGTTCCTGGGTATAGGCCACTGGTCTGCATGGGTCCACCATTCCACTGGAATGCAGGGCCTGGAAGATATCTCACAAACCAGCCTTAGGTTTCACAAGGGTGATGTTATCTATGGCAGCAATGAAGAAAGCTAAGAATCTTTATGAACATCAGCTATGCGACTCCTGAGTAGTAGGCAATTATAAGAAAGCAAGCTAGGGAACAATGGCTGGTTATATATGTATTTCCCCAACCGCAGTTCCCACCTTGTGGCCCTTTATTACTTTTATAAAGGGCAGTTTCGGGAACCGAGGTGGTAGCTTGCCCAGGGACACACAGCTACTGTGTTCAGGCCCCCAAATTCCCCCATGTCTCCTATATAGCCTAGATTTTCTGCACGGTCCTGATTTAAGGTTTCTGTTCTCCTGACCAGCTCTACTACACACTCCTTGTCAAGCCATGCAAGATTTTTGTTTTATTTATTTATTATGCTCACCACGCTTAGGACATGACAATGGCTTCATGCAAGATTGTGAAGGAGACACCCACCATCTCCTCTTGTTAACCCTCCTTTCTCTCCTTCTCTGATCTCTACCAAGTGTTCTTAAGCTGGTGTGGAGGCCAAGAGAAAACTTCCTTTTCACCCTAGGAAGGTTCTCTGGAAAATCAACTGACCAAAGGCAGGGGGAAAAGATATACAAATGTATCAGGGTGCATGGGACAGGAGTAGGGGTGGAGGGGTGGAAATCACAGAGAGATTACCCAATATCCCACTGGGGCCCATAAACTTCTATAGTCTTGTTTCAGAGGGGTGGGGGAGATGAGAAATATAGGTAATTCTGTTGAGGGGCAATAAAGGATTACCAGGAAGAATGAAGAGATAGGGGAACAGAGATTAATTTGTGAATGGTTCTCTCTGGAAATTGAATGAGACTGAGAGACAGACATAATCTCGTGAAAGGATCTGTTCAAGTGGATTGTTTTCTTGGTCTTTTTTTTTTTTCGTTTTTGAGTCAGAGTCTCCCTCTGTTGCCCTGAGTAGAGTGCCCTGGCATCAGCCTCACTCGCAGCAACCTCAAACTCCTGGGCTCAAGTGATCCTCTGGCCTCAGCCTCCCAGAGTGCTAGGATTACAGGCCTGAGCCACCATGCCCGGCTAATTTTTCTATTTTTAGTAGAGACAGGGTTTTGCTCTTGCTCAGGCTGGTCTGAAACTCCTGAGCTCAACCGTTCCTCCCGCCTCAGCCTCCCAGAGGGCTAGGACTACAGGCAGGCAGGAGTCACCACTGGCTGGGCCCAGTTCTTGGTCTTCTTTTCTGCAATAGAAGATGAGATAACAGGGAGGGGAAGGAAAAACAATTTTTCTCTTTGGTGGGTCTGTCAGGTCTTTTGTAGTTAGGGGAAAAGTCTCTTTCAGCGTTAGGTGGTCTCTAAGGGCCTTTAATTCAAAATACTATGCCAGGGAGCCATATTTTGGGGTAAAGTTCCCTGCACTCCCCACAGGCCTTACCCCCCCAGTAAGTGGCAGTGGATAAGGCAAAGCTCTTTTGCTCCCAGGAGGGTCCTCCCCAGAGTACAGGCAGCCCCCTCTGGACTTTGGCATCTGCAAAGGCATTAGCAATCTGAGAAGGTTCTAGATGCCCTCACATTACAACATGCCATTACTCCCCCTACAATTAAGAAGCTGGCTGTTTGTGTATTGCTGGTAGAGTAGGGTCCCTCATAAATATTTTGTGAGTGAAAAAATGCATGAATTGTTCTTCTGCTGAATTTTTACCCCAGCAAACTGAAACAGACGTGGCTTTTTGTTTAGTTTATTTTGTTTCCTTATAATACAAAACATAATTATTCCTATTTGGTATGGATGGTGGGTCAAGGCATAGTATTACTGAGTAATTTTTATAATATCAGAGAATTCTGTCATTTACCCAAATATTATTGAACATCTGTCACATACTAGACGTCGTTCTAGGCACTTGAGATACATCTGAATAAAAACAGGCCAAGATTCTTGTCCTCCTAGAGCTTATATTCTAGCTAGGAAAGACAGAAAATAAATAAACATAACAAATAAATCAATTCTATAGTAAGTTAAAAGGCAAATTCTATGGAATAAAGGAAAAGTAGAGCAGAGCAGGGGTGTTGGGGTGAAGGGAAAATTTCCCCTTTGCTATTGGAAGTTTTGCTGAAAAATCAACTCATGATAAAGCAGGTTAATAAGAGGAAGGGTATACAAATTTTATTGTTACCACGCACAAGGGTAGAATGACAGAGTGATTGCCCAATATCCCAAATACTTATATATCTTCCTGGGGTGGGGGGAGGTGGGGAATATAGGTAATTCTGTTGAGGGTCAGTAAATGGTTATTGGGGAGAAAGAATAGATACTTGGGAGAATGAATGGATGGGAGAAAGAGATTGACTTGTAAATGATTCTCTTTGGAAATTAAATTAACCTGAAAGACAGGCATTATTTTGAAAAAGGGTTGGGCCAGGTCTGATTGCATTCTTGCTTCTCATTTCTAAAATAGGATAATGAGATAACAGGGAGGGGAGGGAAAGACAATTGTTCTCCTTGATGGGTCCCTGAGGTCTTCATGGAAATAGAGGAAAGAAAGCAGTTTCCAAGGCTTGTTATCTCTACTGGCCTTCAATTCAAAATACACTTTATACCAAGGAGTCATATTTTGGGGTGAATTTTCCTGCACTCCTTCGGGGAATTAGGGTGCAGTAGGGTGGAGGGTGAGGAACCAGTTTGCAATATTTAAAAAGGCATTGAGAGAAGTGAGATTTGGGAATTTCTTGTTGTGCAACTGAGATTTGAGCAAAAGTTTGGAGGAGCTAGCCAAGCAACATACTTGGGCAATGAGGGTGGTCATCAGCGGCAATGGCTCATGCAAAGGCCTGGTGAGAGGGTTACCAGTGTGTTTGGGTCATCGTGAGATCAGAGTTCCAGGAAAGAAGCAAGAAAGGAGAGTAGAGGAGGTGGCAAGACAGGTTATGGGAAGGGGGTGAAGAGAAGGCCTGGCTAGCAAGGGTGGTTTTGTTATGTGAATGAAACCTCCCAGGTAGCAGCCCTCGGAGAGAATAGATGGTAAATGTTTCTTTCAGACCTCTAAAGATGTCACAATCTGTTTATCTTTCTTACATCCCGACCAGGGAGGGACTCAAAGAAAGCCTGACTGCATTGATGCGGATTCTCTGCAGATGGAAATTTCCCCCACAAAAGACAGCATTTCAGCCATTATTGTGTTTCTTAGCCCTTCTGAATAGCTATCTGGAAATATGTCAAAGAAGTATATTTTGAAGTGAAATATTTTGGTTTTCTTTAAGGAGACTGTTAATCATTTTGCTATGGTGTGGCCTTGGGAGAAGCACTGATTTCTGTTGGCTTTGACACTGTCCTTGTTTGTATGTTAGGTACATCACCGTCCAATTATCAGTACACTGATTTTCACTTTCTCAAAGTAGAGGGACTATAGAAATGAAGCATGTAAGGGCTTATGGAAAACTGCCTACGGAAGCTCAGCATTTAATATGCAGCATCTGAGTGGACAATGGGTATTAATAGGAAATATAATTATAATAAATATACTTTAATTTTCGTAGTTTTAGAAATAATCCTCAGAAGCTTGTATACTTCATATTATTCAGCCTTAAAAAAGAAGATCTTCCATTTGTCATGAACCTGGAGGACATTATGCTAAATGAAATAAGCCAGAAACAAAGATGCTGGTCTTGAACTCCTGACCTCAAGTGATCCTCCCTCCTGGGCCTCCCAGAGTGCTAGGATTACAGGCGTGAGCCACACACTGGTCTATTTGAAATTATTATTATTATTATTTTTCCAGGAGAAAGTAGGCACACCAAGAGGTAAGATAATTTGCTCAAAGACACATACCTAAGAGAGAAGCCAGGAGAAAATGGGGACAAGTGGATTCCAGAGCCTTTTCTTAGCCACAGTGTTATTCTCTTGAGTTTAGAGAGGTTAAAATACTTAGCCAAGGTCACACTGCTGATACCAGGAATAAGAGATAACATTTATTGTTTACTGTTTACCAGGCACTAAGCTCCTGATTTCCACGCATATCATATAATCCTCACAGCCATATGAAGCAGGGCGGACTAACATCCTCATTAGGGAGAAGAGGAAACTGAGGCTGAGAGAGAACAGGCATCTAGCCCAAGTTCCTCGTACTTGGGAAATGGGAAAATCCGGATTCAAACTCAGATATTTCGAACCCAGATCTCCAATCCCCACCCACTTCCCCTACATCGGCCTCTGTGGGGGAAGTAAGGCTATGAATGTGGACTTTCGTCGCCAGCATTTGGAGCGTCGCGGCACACCTGTACAGAGCCCTGTGTAGCCCCGCCCACTCCCCGGGGGAGACGTCTCGTCCACCAATCAGCGGCGCGGGGGGCGGACCGCGGGCGCGCACGTTCCGGGCCCGCAGCTCTAGTAGCCAGAGCGCACGGAGGCGCGGCGCGGAGGTGGCGGGGACCGGGCGGGTGGCTCCGTCTCCTTCGCTCGCCTCGCCGCCTTCTTCTCTCCGCGGCCGGACCGGAACTATGTGATCCCGGAAGTTCCGGGGCCATTGCTGTGTGGGATAAACAGTAATGGCGGAGGCTGCGGCTCCGGGAACAACAGCCACAACATCAGGAGCAGAAGCGGCGGTGGCAGCGGCCTCCCCCACCCCTCTCCCCACAGTCGCCGCCCCGTCCCCGGGGGCGGGAGTAAGGGGCGGCGGCAGCGACGGCAGCGGCGGCGGCTGGACTAAACAGGTCACCTGCAGGTAGGACGTTGCGTGGCGGAGCGCCGGGCGAGGGGAGGGGGCCGCGGGCCGAGCGGGCGGCAGAGGTAGGAAGGAGGCCGGCGGGGAACGGGCGCGGAGGGAGAGGGGGCCCGTGTTTGCGACCGCGGCAGCCGCTGCCGCCGCGTCTCGGCTGGTCACTGCGTCAACCCCCTACGGGCCGCGGGGGCCCGGCAGCGCGCGTTCGCCTAGGCGTCCTCCTGGGCTGCACCTCTCTCCCCTATCCCCTGCTGCTCTCGGCTCCGTGCACCTTTCGGGGCTAGGTAGAATGGCTCCTCCCGGCTAGATGGTGTGTATGTGTGTGTGTGTGTGTGTGTGTGTGTGTGTCAATAGATGCCCCCAACCCCTACCTCCAGCTCTTGAGCTTCGGAAAGGGGGAGGGAGGTTATTACTATGAGCAGGTCTCCCAACGACCCTCTCCGGGCTTAGGAGACCCGGCCGAGGGCCCCAGCGAGCCGGCTGGGCCACCCGGGCCTCTCCCACCCTGCGTGTCTTCCGTTCGTAACGTCTTTTCACGTCTCTACGCCCCCGCCCAACCTGAGAAGCTTTTGTATTTTTTCTTTGTATGTTTGTGGAGCTTGGCGGTGCTGAGCTTTGTCTTAGAACCAAGCGATCGGGGAACCGGGGTCGTCTCCTCCACCCTGGATTTTATGAGCTGCCATCATTACCCTCCCCCAGCACAGTGTTCCTCTTTTGAAATTCTCGCATCTTAATTCTGAAGGGAGTGAAAGAGCTCGTCCCTTTCCAATGATAGATTTGGTTTTGGTTTTGTAGGAGAGATGAAAATATTAGAAAAATAAGTGATGGAGTTTATACGGACGTGTACGCGTGTAAAGAGTTACCAAGCTGTATTCATAAGAAGGCATTTAATTGTATGTTTGTTAAACTCCGATTGTTTTTTTTTTTTTTTTTGAGACAGAGTCTCACTGTGTTGCCCGGGCTAGAGTGCCGTGGCATCAGCCTAGCTCACAGCAACCTCAAACTCCTGGGCTCAAGCGATCCTCCTGCCTCAGCCTCCCGAGTAGCTGGGACTACAGGCATGCGCCACCATGCCCGGCTAATTTTTTCTATATATTTTTAGTTGTCCAATTAATTTCTTTCTAATTTTAGTAGAGACGGGGTCTCGCTCTTGCTCAGGCTGGTTTCGAACCCCTGAGCTCAAACAATCCGCCCGCCTCGGCCTCCCAGAGAGCTAGGATTACAGACGTGAGCCACCGCGCCCTGCCCCGATTGTTAAACAGTGACCAGTAGTAGGGACTGTAAGTTTTTCTTATATCGGTTGAAAAAAAATCCTATTTAATGCGGGTTTTCAACTGGGTGGCATAATTTAGGTGCATATGTTAACAGGTAAACATATTCCTAATATACAGAACTGCCTTTTGTAGTAATAACGGTGAGATTGAAGCATTCCCAGCCTTTTATGTGATATTAGTGGCGAGATTGATGCTTTCTCCATCTTCATTGTGATATATTTAAGACATGAAGGATAAGCTTAATCATTTTCAATAGTGGGATGCAGAAAGCATAAAGGCAGTTTCGGGTAACTTGCCTTATTCATCGGTAGATCCTAAGAATGGAATCAAGTGCAATATTCCAAGGAATGAAAATTTTAAAGTTTCTGTTTATAGAACCGGTTATTTGAATTTCTATTTATTTCTCTTTTCTTTACAATGCTATAGTCGATTTATATATGCTAGTTGTCTTTTACAACTAAAAACTAGTGGAATCTTTTTATTCATGAACTTTCTAGCTATTCACCCTGCAGCCAGTCTGCCTCCATATAATGAAAATAATCTTCCTTCAAAATGTGAGTTCTTTAAGAATTACATAAGATGTCTTGATTTTGCCCACTATCTCCAACCTAAATAGAGAATAGCCTTGAGCACCCGTCACCAACCTGATATTTATATACTTATCTCTTTATCCTATTGTATCGGTGAATTCATCCCAACTTTACATTTCTGGATAGAATTCATTGTCACTTTCAGCACTGTACTTTCCCCTCTGTTAGGTACTTTTCCCTGTTTCTCCTTTTTCTAGTTCCTCCCCTGTATCAGAAGACTCTAAACAGTTTACCAGGTTAATATTATTCTTTGCCTTCCTTTAGTATATTTGAGTTAGTGACATATTCTAGATGTTTCCTGGACCATGGGGAATACTTTGCCCATGAACCAATAGATTTATGTGTTTAAGAAATTTACATAGTTGAGTAACCTAATAATTTGAAAAAGCATTATGTAAAAGATACAGGCTTAGATGTACTAGTTCTTGGTTTGTTTTTTTTTTTTTTTGAGACAGAGTCTCACTCTGTTGCCTGGGCTAGAGTGCCGTGGTGTCAGCCTAGCTCACAGCAACCTCAAACTCCTGGGCTCAAGCGATCCTCCTGCCTCACCTGCCTCAGCCTCCCGAGTAGCTGGGACTACAGGCATGCGCCACCATGCCCGGCTAGTTTTTTCTATATATTTTTAGTTGTCCAATTAATTTCCCTCTATCTTCAGTAGAGACGGGGTCTCGCTCCTGCTCGGGCTGGTCTCGAACTCCTGAGCTCAAACAATCCGCCCGCCTCGGCCTCCCAGAGAGCCAGGACCACAGGCGTGAGCCACTGCGCCCAGCCTCTTTCCATTTTTTGGTAGAGACGTGGTCTCGCTCTTGCTCAGACTGGTCTCAAACTCCTGAGCTCAAACGATCCTCCCGCCTTGGCCTCCCAGAGTGCTAAGATTACAGGCATGAGCCACCGTGCCCAGCCTAGTTTTTGGTTTTGTATAGCCTGTATATAGCTTTTGCTTGAGACAGTTACCTTTGAAAAGTACAGGTTAGTTCATACGTCTTGGGTTTTAATGTTTGACATTGTTTTCATTTGTTCTAGGTACTAGCATGATCTCATATTAAAAAAAACCTTTCTCCATTAGAGGAATATCAACTATGATATCTTTATTTATTCTAGACTTTGAGCTCTCTTAAGAGGAGTAGGGCCCTATCATTGTACTTGCAGGGCTTTCCTCAGCACCTGACCTACAGCGGTTACTCGGTAAATACTTGAATTGATGTTGATAAAGTCATACCTAAGATTATCCATTTTAAATAGCAACTCGTAAGATTCCTCTGCTTCCTTGCTTTCCTTTTCTTTTAAACCATTTGTAAATTAGCAAAGACAAAGGACTTAATCGAACATGTGTATATCTCTCTGGGACTACCTTGTTCAAACCGTCCAGTAAATAAACATTGCATGCCTACCATGGGAGATACAGTACTTGGCCAGGCGCAGTGGCTCACACCTGTAATCTTAGCACTCTGGGAGGCCGAGGTGGGAGGATCGCTTGAGCTCAGGAGTTGGAGACCAGCGTGAGCAAGAGTGAGACCCCATCTCTACTAAAAATAGAAAAAATTAGCCGGGCATCGTGACGTTTGTAGTCCCAGCTAAGCTACTTGAGAGGCTGAGGCTGGAGGATCACTTGAGCCCCAGGAGTTTGAGGTTGCTCTGAGCTAGGCTGCCATGGCACTATATGTAGCCTGGGCAACAGAAGGAGACTCTGTCTCAAAAAAAAAAAAAAAAAAAGAGAGAGAGACAGATACAATACTAGATGTTAAAGGGAATGTACAAGTATACTGTGTTGTAAATAAATATTATCAATATGTTTGATAGCTAAAACTCCTTTGAAGAGAATTCAAGGTAATGGTGTCTTCCAGTGTTCGTGTTGATTTCTTATAACGAATCACTCCTATGTCTAGGAATTTGATTAAGGCGATTTTCTTCACTTAGGTGTAATCCTCTTAGAAGTTCTTTGGGTAAAGATATTTGTTCTTATTAATTGTTTAGAATCATCTGTAGTTTCATGCTGGTTACAATTTCTTAATGTTTCTCTTGAAAATTCTTGTGTTTTATTCCTGCTGCTTAAGAAAAACCTAAGAATACCTTTTCTAAGAACCTGTATTATACTGCCACCACCAGGCTGCTTTTCGTATCTGTTATTGGAGGAATACTGTGAACTAGAAATGCTCATTTGCTCTTCTAGTTTCCTTGAGTGTGGTGTTACAACAGTTAATATGTAAAGAAAAGTTGTAATTTGCAAATTGTAATTTCACATTTAGATCCTGCTTTATTAGAGTGCTTCTACAATGGTAGATGAGTGTTCTGCAAGTTGAAATAATATATTAATACAAAAATCAAACATTTTGATTTTTCGAAAGAAGTTTATTTTTAGAAAGTGATTAATATGCTTTATTTTTATTTTAAAATATGAAACATTTAGTGAATTTGCATCCAGGGGCCATGCTAATCTTTCTTTCGGGCCAATTTTAGTATATGCGCTGCCAGAGCCAGCACTAATATACCTTAAAAATAAAGGAAAGGCTGGGTGCAGTGGCTCACGCCTGTAATCCTAGCACTCTGGGAGGGCCAGGCGGGAGGATTGTTTGAGCTCAGGAGTTCGAGACCAGCCTGAGCAAGAGCGAGACCCCGTCTCTACTAAAAAAAAAAAAAAAAAAAGAAAGAAGTTATCTGAACAACTAAAAAGATATAGAAAAAATTAGCCGGGCATGGTGGCGCATGCCTGTAGTCCCAGCTACTCAGGAGGCTGAGGCAGGAGGATCGCTTGAGCCCAGGAGTTTGAGGTTGCTGTGAGCTAGGATGACACCACGGCACTCACTCTAGCCAGGGCAACAGAGTGAGACTCTGTCTCAAAAAAAAAAATAAAAGAAATCTGTAATTTTTTTTTTTTTTATCTAAGTGCTGTGATGTCAATGGTGAAATTTATTGCTTCCAAACTATAGTTTTTTATTTTCATTTTGGTTTTTTTTTGTTTGTTTTTTTGAGAGACGGTCTCTCTGTTGCCCAGATTAGAGTGTTGTTTTTTTTTTTTTAAGTAAATTTGCCCTGACAGATACACAGTGTTTTTTGAGGGGAAATGGAGGTGATAATACTTAGATGGCATTGAAAAAGTTATCCAGCCTAGGTGAAGAAAAATTAATTTGCTGTTGACACT